CTGAATGACAAACAGAAAAAAAGGGATAATGGAACAGCAGAGCTGTCTGAACGCTTCTTCCTTCAAAATACAGTATACTGTGCATCCCACTGCAGCTGCAAATAGAGAGGAGAGAGAGGGGCTGCTTCTTCCTCTGCTGCACTATGGACCAGGCACAACTTTGCTAGAGGTGGAGGTGGGATTGTGTTTAATCCTTATTTAGAGCAACTGAACCTACAGACCACGAACCCACTCTGGATTAGAAGGGTAAAGAGAGCAAAGTGCTCGAGTGGGGGCAGTAGCCAGAAGTGTACTTCAAGAGATGCCTCATAGCTGGCAGAGAGAAGGAGATTTCCCAGTAGATACAGAGGAAATGGTGCTGTTTGCTCAGTCTGGGAAATTACTTGACATTATTGGACTAAAAAGCAAGACTGAAGGAAGGCATTATCTCCTGCTCAAACTGATTCACCTTTGATACCAGTTTAAGGTCTCACAAAGCAGACAAGCTCTCCCTCTAAGAGGGATCTCATTCTAGTTTAAAGATTGGGTTTATCTGGATATATTCTGGAGGCACTGGAGACCTCTGCAGTATTTATGTTCAAAAAAAGGTGGACAGTTTCACCTCATAAGCTAGCTGACTCATGAAGTCTTTAAATACCTACTTTAATGAAGGAGTAAATCAGCTTTTTCATCCCTCTTAATCTTTGGTATTTAAAAACACGTGAAACTAGGTAAAATCCCTTAATGTACATAATACCATTAATTATTAGGAAGAATGAGATAGAAGTTTCTAAGCAATAGGGGGAAAAAAGCACAAACAGGAAAGTCTATAGCTACACATCACTATGCAGAAACCATGCAGACACAAACAACTGAATGTCAACAGGCTCTGCAGACAAATTGCTAAATATAACACATGAAGCAAAGCTAGCGAAAGGAAAAGAAAATAGGTCAAGTGTACTGTTTTTCTGAGTCTTACCCAAAGAGGTCCCTGCACAGAAAAAGTGCAAAAGTGAAAGGAATCAGAGAAAAAAAAGAAAACCAACAAGAAAATTTTATGCAAAAGCTATGAACAACAGTGAACAATGCAAAAACCCACACCTAACAGTAGGCATGGCTCATCAGAGGAACAAACATACAAGACTGGTGAAATAAAAGGAAATATTCTAAAGACAAACAACGTAAGAAGATTTACAGATTCTCCTCTACTGAAATGTATCTGTGTCAGTTTAAGAAATATCCATTATTTGGATCTAATAAGTTATATTAATTTAACCTTTACATTACTAACATTCTACTTATAATGTTTCAGAACAGTATTCATTTAGTAGGGAATACCTAACATTAGTTAAACAAACTGTTTTTGGAAAAGTAATAGCAGGAAAAAATCCTAGACTTTTGGCACAAGTATCCTTTTTCATGAATTTACATAGAATAGATTTCTTCCTCAATGGGACACAGAAAAAATGCAAGCGAAAACACTGATTACACATCAACTACCCTCTACAATTCATTTTTCCCCATCGATGCCATCTGTCTTGGCCAAGAACCAGATTCCCATAAAATCATATAAAACTCATTCTTCTATTGTTTCCAACAATCCTTATCAGAACTCTTTCTAAAATGTGTTCATAGAACAAAGATATCAGATATCATATTTAGCTTTCATTAAAAAAAATACTCAATTGTATCAAAGAACACAAGTTAAAATTTTAACTTCAGTCTCTCTTACAGCACTATGCAGAAATTCTTATAGACCACTGGAATGTGGATAAATTGAAAGCATTGCTGCTATCAACCATTTGCAAGCAAACCTGCTTGCAGAGTTATTCTGAAATTAATTGCCCGGGATGCTTCCAGTAAACCATCCTCTTAAAAGAAAAGAGTAAATGACATGAAAAAGTATTTGTGCCATTGCTGCATTTTTCATAGTCTATGATCATTCAAATATTCAGACTAGTATTTTCTATTAAATTTTTTCAGATATAAGCATGTTTTGCGTTAATCAATTTAAAAAAGTATCATGACAAATTTTAAGTATTGTGAGAAATTATTAAAATTTAACATGAAGCAAATATTTAAGAGGAAATACAAAAACTCACTTGTATGGTTTCTGAGGCAGAATACTGATTCGAGTCTTGTCAAGTATCTTCTTTAATTTATTTCTTCCCCCAACGGTGTTGGCTTTGCTTTTCTTATTTACTTTTTCTAATCCTATTACCTGCTCCACATCAACGGCAAGGTCTGGGATAGAATAACGACTTGCCTTTTTAATATCACCAATTTTAGGCAGGTGGGGAGCACCATTTCTTTTTTCTTCTGACAACCGTGTTAAGAGTTCTTTAAAAACTGCACAAGACAGGAAAAGCGAGGAAAGAAAAAGAACAAAAATGTAAAAGACAGCTCAGTGCACCAGACCAGTTTAATATTAATCATTACAAAAAACTGACAGGATTAGGATATTCTGTCAATTCAAGTGTTAAATGAATTTAGATGTAAGACTTCAAAAAAAATATTTAAGAACAGCATTAATTTTCTGTAGTATGAATTAGAAAATCAGTACATTGGCCCAGCTCAGAATAGAAATACACTAGATGACCACATGGTTGCATGGATGGTGTCAACAGACGGACTTTGACCTTTCAACCTAAAGTCACAGGCTTCTGCAAAATAGTAGCACATCTAAAAAGAGCCCACTAGACAAAAATGAGATAGGAAAGCTAACAACTAAGAGGCAGGTTTTAAAAAGATAGCCAGCAACAAAAAGCGCTCAGATGGACAAGAAATTATTAGCAACAGGATAAAGAAATCAGAAATTGGAGGGGAAACTGCAACAAAGTCATAAGAAAAATATAATATTGAGACACCTTGGATGTTTGACAGGGCTGTTGCGTCCATCGGCCAGATATACAAATAAACCTCTAAGACTCCCTCGGCTCCCCAGCAAAGAGTCATCGCTGAGGCAGAAACACCTGATGAAGTTGTGAATTAGTTCTGCTGCAGCAACTTTTAGCTTCACAAAAATGTTGATATATTTAAACAGATCAAACCAAACTATGTGGAGGTCAAGTCAAATATTCTGAGTGTGAGAGGAAGTCTCCATATATAAATGGAAAAATAATCTGATGAGTTGATTTGTAATAATAAACGAAAACTGATAATTAAAACCAAGGCGTTGTAGAAAAAGGGGGAACAAGGGCAACCAGCTAAGGATGAGCATTAGGGGCTAGGTTTTACTATTATGTATTAAATTTGTCCTTAATATTCATCCTTATCTCCAGAGGTACACAACAAATCACCAAGAGACTTCAAAAGCTTCAAATAAGACACACAAAGAAAAGCGGAGGAGAGTAATCCGAGGCAATAACCGTACCGTCGAATAGGAGCTGGGGGCTGGAGAGACAAATTAGATTCAGATAAGAAGATGCTCTTTAAAAAAAAAACAGGAAACTCTCCTTTTGGGATTTGTTGATAAGGAATACTGCATGCAATACACAAAGTAACTGTTCTGAGACTCTGCTATGATGCGATTTCAGTGTTTGGAGTGGAGCCACAAGATTAAAGACTTTGAAAACCTCAACTTCTGAAGAAAATGGGTTTAATCTTAAACATCCTAAAGCAACACATGAGATCCAAAAACCTAGTGTGTGAAGGATGGTTACACAGAACTTATACCTAGAGAAACAAGCACATACTGCCAAACAGGCATATACAGATATACTAAGAAATGCCTTAATTATTAGAAATAATTGAAATATTAGAATCTTTGCTGTAAAGCAAAAAAAAAACCTTCCCAGGAAATAGATTTGACAAATGACTTCTGGAGATAACCTAAGTATATTTAATAAGCGCAGTGACGTCCTGTGGTAATATTCTGCCCTACTTATTTGCAATAAAGAACTTGATTCTGAATGAGATACTTGGATTATTTATATAGTTTAGTGATGTGTTCCCCCCAAGTATCCAGTGATTTAAAAAAAAAAAAAAAAAAAAAAAAATCAAACAAACCCCACAAACTGTTAATTACTTATGATGCTAACTGAGGTCCTGAGCTGCTTAAAGACTCCTTCATGACTGTGTTAGTACTTATTAGAGAAAGAAATAAAGAGAATAGATTTGGAGGGTTAGAAAGATTGTTTTCACCTAGCTGGCAAGAAAGTTTTTATTAAACTTGTTGCACTTATTGTAGGCATGGACTGAAAAACTGTGAGCAAATTCAGCAGACAGATTAAGATCAGTGATAAACTGAAATTCCAAAAGAGGCTTCTTTCTTGAGAAAGGACTAAAAGTTACACGTACAAACACATTTTATAAGTTCGAGCTAAATGGTCGCATTATTTCCTCTTAATTCAGAAATGTGCACTTGTGAGTGAAGTCACTTCATATAAGACCCTGTTCATAAATTTTTCTCTGCAATTGTGATCTAAGGTATTTTAGGACTTGCAAGCCTCCTTCTTCTATGCTCCCCAGTGCAAACTATTTAAAACAATAATAAAAAAAAAAAATTAAGACCCCCATCTAAATTAGAACAGAAAGTAGAATAAAAAGTGCACACAAACTTACCAAATAAATTGGTTTTCACAGTGATAGACAGATGAGTGTTATTTCTAAGGATTTCCATGGCTTTTGACAGCTGAATGTTTTCAAAGTTTTGACCATTCACTTCCAGTATCTAAAAATACAGACAGTGGGTTTTTTATTTAGCTAAGAGAAAGGGGAAAAAAAAGGGAAAAAAAATAAAAATTACATACCTGGTCTCCACGTTTCAAGCCTGCTTCTGTAGCTTTACTACCGAAATCAACACTGTCAACAAAGATTCCAAATCCCTTTTCTGATCCTCCCAGCAAGATAAAAGGCAAAGGGGCTTCTCGAGATGGCTTTGTTAAGGTTATCAATCTTCGTTTAGCTTTAGCAGCACAAGCAATATTTAACAGCCTCAAATGTCCACCCATTTTCTACAAAAGAAAAGCACAATGAATTACGTATAACAACACCCTAGCTACTCCCTGCCACCCCAAATTGTCAGAAAAAACCCTCACTCTTACCTCCCTCTCCAAATTGTTCTCAAATTCTTCCAGAAATCGAGTCATAGCAGGATCTCCTTCAAAATCATTGAAGTGATTGTTCACCCACAACAATACTACCCGTGTAACCTGAAAATTAATCAATAATACAAATATTTTCCAGGAATGCTCAGAACAGCACTAGTGCCAAGTCCTTTAAAAATACTGCTCCTTAAAGACCCTGTAAGTTTCCATTGAAACCCTAAATATGATATATATGCACCCAAACCTAACTTTACTAATATGCAATCATTTACCAGCAGGACAGAACTAATTAAGTATTAAGATTGCTTTTACTTGTATAAGCAACTGTATGTTGTATTTCATAAAGAATACTTTGAGTTAGAAAATTAACACTGGCTATATCAAGTTTGACTGAGTAGGGAATAGAGCACACAAGTACAATGCAATGAGTTAGATCTATTTCTGAGTTATAACAACAATTTCCTGTTCATGTCCATTTCCAAATCTGCTTAATTCTTCGAGCACATGATCACAAAGCTTCTGGTATTGCTTTATATTGGCTCTTGAATCTCACAAATCTTTAGATAAGCCACCATTAACTTAATTAGGCATTTACCTGTGTAAAAGAGCTATTGTTAGTTTAGAGAGGTAGGAAAAATGAGCTATTGTGAGAAGCAGGAAAGAGGACTTAACAGCAAATACATGCAATTCTTTTCCTTAGAGTCAATCTTTCAGGTTACTACTCCTTCCTTCTCCACCCCTACTCTCTCCAAGCAACTACAATTATCAAGTGCAGAACAATCTTAGCTGGTATATTACAATTTGTTAGGAAAAAAAACCCCTAAAGGAATACTATCGATTAATATTACTGAAGGTAAAGTCACAAAATAAGAGCCACGATTTTAAAAAAATATATGCTTCCACTCTACAATTTTATTTTGGTATGTGATTTGACCTGGAACATCAGCAGCACTTGTCCTGACAAAATACAAGATTTTTTTATGTCTCGAATTAATATTGATTCATGCTATTTTTAAAAACTCCTGAATATAAAATGGATGTGCCATTCAAAGTTATCTTAAAAATACAGCTGCATTTTTTCTGTTATGATGGGTTAGTAGGGGAAAGCCCTCAAACATTTCAAAAACTAGAGCTTAAGAAGAAAATCTCATACGAATTTTAACCAGCTAAAGCTAACCACTGTCCATTCTCTGCATCTGCACAACATCTAAATCTCTGCAACCTCCTAAGCTAAAGATTTGACACCAGGCATCCAAAACCCAAACCCTGACACCATTATGGAAGCTGTACAGTTTATTGTGTTTATAGAGTTTCCAAGTAGTTTCCCTTTTATCCCAGAAAAGCAAGTGAATTCAGAAGAATTGCCAAAATTCATGACCCATCAAATCAAGTACTTCAGAACTCCTCGAGAGCTCAGATTTCTAACAGGAGGCAACTGCACAGCACGATGAGTTGCAGCTCCAGCCACAGGGATGTAGGCTAGGGGTGGCATTTCTGTCATATTTGAGATTTTTCTATCTTTGAAATTGAAGATGAGCTGCCTTTCTGTTAAACATCTGTGGTGTTTTTCATTAATGTGGATGACATTGGAAGATCCAGACAATGTCTGGTTAAATTTAGCCTAATTGCAGACATTTAAAATTGGCTGGGAAGTTGCAAGCCATACCATGTAATATATTTTAAATCACTGCAAGGACAGCTTCAATATCAACGCTCCTGACAAAGTTGGGACTTACCACGGTACACAAAAGACACTGCACTGGAAAGAGTTGAACAGTGACTTCCAGCGGAATGTCATTACTTGTATCACAACCAGACACAGCATTAAAAGAGGATTAAAGTCAAGTACCCTGCTTCTGGGCAAAATCCACAGTAAAGCTGTATCTCAAATGTCCCAGTCTGATTCCTACCGAATTCTGATCGTCCTCAGGTAGTTTTACCCGCCCCTTCTCCCTTTTCTCACTGCCTATCAGCTCCTAATAGAAAACAGCCAAAATCTTCCAGATTCCTTGTTCCTTGCTTGCTTATCTCCACTCGTCCCAAGCTGTTCTCTGACTCTTGCCTTTTTGTCAGCGCTACTCGGTGTCAGAAAGGGTTGGTTACTGAGATGGCAGAACAAAGAGCTGCTCTGTTTTCAGACCTGATACCAGCAACTGTGCTGGCTCATGCTTTTACAGAGGCTGAGGGGATTATCCATTGGAGGACAAGAAAAATAAGGTTAAAGATGAACTCCAACATTATAGCTCTGAAGCTGTAACAAGCCTATGCTAAACAATATTAGCTGCAAAGCCTAGCCTCTCTGCCAAATGTAAGATCCTTCCCCCAAGGCACAGATATGCTACCATTTCTAGAAGAAATGCCCAGATTTAAATAAAAGGTGAAACCCAAATTTCTCTTCAACCTTATTGATATAATTCCCTTGGTTTCAAATTTGCAAAAAACATCTTGACATTTTCACTAGGGCTTTTTTACATATAAGAAAGTCGTATACAAGTGAAAATAAAGCATTACAGTGTGAAGCACAGTATAGCCTCAACAGACAGTGCAATCAGTGTGCCAAACTAGCTATACAGGGCCTTATTCTTCCTTCGTGGCAGTTCTGTTTAGGGAAGAGGATGTTTGATTGCTTTTTTGTGTTTGGGTTGGACTTTTTAATGCTATGTAAGGTTCAACAGATTCTTAACAATGGCTACATTTTCTAGTGTCTTTATACAAACATAAATTATCACAAAATGTTTGCCAAGTTGTGCTAACTAGTAATATGTATGGAAAACACAGAACTTAGTTATATGCTCAAATTTCAAGACACAATAGAATGCTATTGAATTATATTAAATAAAAAGAGAGAGCTGGGGGTTGTTCAGCCTGGAGAAGAGAAGGCTCCAGGGAGAGTTTATTGCAGCCTTTCAGTACTTAAAGGGGTCTTACAGGAAAGATGGGGGCAAACTTCTTAGCAGGGCCTGTTGTGATAGCACAAGGGATAATGGCTTTAAACTAAAAGAGGGCAGATTTAGACTAGATATAAGAAAGAAAAGTTTTACAATGAGGGTGCTGAAACACTGGCACAGGTTGCCCAGAGAGGTGGTAAATGCCCCATCCCTGGAAACATTCAAGGTCAGGTGGGACGGGGCTCTGAGCAACCTGATCTAGATGAAGATGTCCCTGCTCACTGCCAGTGGGTTTGGACTAGATGACCTTTAAAGGTCCCTTCCGACCCAAACTATTCTATGATTCTATGATTAGTACTTAAATAAAATACAATAAGGAAAATAAATAAGGAAAAAGCATTTTCTTAGTTTTATCCATATATTCTGCCATTAAAATATGTCACCAGCTACCTGTGTCTCATTCAGTTTAGTCACTCCCTCTAAAACTTATTTTATTCTTAATAGCCTACGTTTCAGTGCAAATGCTAGCAGGTATGAAATTCAGGGGATTTAACCTTATCCCTGAGGCTGGGGTCATTGAACCACTCCAACAACTTCTTGCCCACTTCCATTGGGCTGGAAAGAAAGGTCCGATATGTCAACAGGAAGTCTTCTATAAACGTTGGGTCTACCACAGAATGTTCTTCCACCAAATGCATTGTTAACCTTTCAGCTGTTCCCTATAAAAAAAAAAAAAAAAAAAAGACAAACAAAACCAACCACACCTTAGTTATTAAAATAGGTTTTCGATAAATGCAAATTTGTTTTCTCGTAACATACTGAAGATGCATTACACTAGAAAGGATATTGGCATCTATTGACTGATGAGCTAAGCAACATAACAGCGTAACCACTGTGATAAGAAATGCAAAAAAAATCTGTAATTGAATTGTAGAAATCACCTAGACATCAATGTGCATAATCGTAAAGAGAAGAATGAGAAATACTAACTGTCTACTTTCAAACAAATATTTTTCTAATATATATCTCAACTAATCCTGAACCTAACTTGCCAAGTTAAGAAATTTATAGAACACAGACTTTTGCAAGACACTCCCTCTTTTGCTTTTACCTTGATGACAATGTGACCTTTTCTCGTTCCAGTGCGGTCAAGCTCCCTGTGCTCCTTCACCATCACAATCTCCCCTTCCTCTTCCACCTTCTGCATGTTCTTTTCCACTTGATTGAGGATGCGGCAATAATCTTGCTGGGCTATACAAACAAACTGGAAAGAATCATTGCGCACCGATATTAAAAGGTAAAATCTTCAGAAAAGCTTTTAGACTTAAGATGCAAGTACTCTATTAATAGCAAAGATAAAGTAGTTTCTCAACCAGCAGTGAGCCAAATTTATCTTTCCAGCAGTTCGGCTGTAGTAAGCAGATGAATACACAAGCACAGTACTTCCACTACAACCTTGCAGTTAGAGGAGACCAAGATTCATCAGAGCAAAATGATTTAGCATTATCGGACATTTTTGTTTAGCTGCTTTGACCTCTCCTCTGCTGGAGATGAAGCTCAGTATCTCAGCTGCTATTTTTTAATCCCCTGCAAGCTTTTGTGTGGTATTTAGAAGGGTTAACAATTGAAGGGAAAACCTACCTTTTATTTTTTATGCCTATTGCTATTGTAAACAATTTTCATTCTTCGTAGCTATTTATTAATAAAATCAATCATTAAGAAAACTAACACTTATTCAATTACCTGAGCGCAGGCACACAGAAACAAACTACTTCTGGATTAAAGCATACAGCAGGAAAAATATTTTCTACAGGTACCTGCCCAGCCAAGAATAAGTGCAAGAATAAATATCTTAAGAATATTCCTAGCACCTACACTATGCAAATATAATTAAGACCACCCACAACACACTATGAATTACCTTCTATAACTTGTTAAAGTTTTACACCTTTGTCTCATTAGTCTTAGACAAACTAAACTGTCTTTATATATGAACTTGGGTATTTAACTGAAAGGAAATAACGGTGTTTCTTCTGCTTGGAAACTTGTTAAATCATCATGTACATACTTGGGACAAAGGCATGAGATTCAGAGATAATATTTTCTCCTGCATTTACATCATTCATTTACATACCCTTTGTATTTCCAGTAGCTAGTAGTAGCCGAAACAGAAGTCCCAGAGTTTGGATTTGTTGCAAGACATTATCTTAACAAGGTACCATTTATGCACTTTTTGGAAGTTAGATGGGCAAACTAAACCAGGTGACTCCATTAACCCACATTAACACCCAATTTCACAGGGCATCTACTAGAAGCTATATGCCATGAGAAGCACTCCTTTCATCTGACTGTTTGTGCTATAGTAAAAGGCATTTCCCTTGAAAGGCCAGAGTAGCTGAAACTAGAAGATCTTCCACTCAAACCATGGGAGAGGAAGCCTGTATTACTTTAAGATTCAATAGCTAAGTCAACTAAGGAAGAATGGCTATTACCTGTAGAAATAAAAGAGTCTGTGACTGCTAATGGACCTTGAGATCCTACTAAGGGAAAGTTTGATGCAATGGATGTATGCAAAAGGCTGCTGGGCCTCAAGTTCTTGAGAAAGCATGCAGGCTCTTCATCCAAAATAATCCCTATCCACATGAAGAAAATTCAATTTCCCAGACCGTGGGTATGCAGGAGCCGTATTTCCCAACTACTGTACAGGGTTACACACTGGAGATTTTACATATATTCAGTTTAAAATATAACCGTGCCTGGCTATCGAGTTGCATTACACCTATATGTATGTGATTTTGCATGTATTACAGTCCAACACTCTACCTGGCAGTCATCCACTTTGGTTCTCATCACTCCTTTCATATATTCTTTTTCCATGGTAGGGGAAACACCAAAACTGTTCCCCATGCAGAGTATTTCTGTTCTTCCATCAGGGTATGTCACCTCCACAGACCCATTCAAAATGACTGACCAGGAATCCAGCTACAAATCAAATAGTGCAGGATACATGAAGACTGAATCACTTAACACTGTAACATCATACTATATAGATACAACCCTCACAATTTTTTAGCGCCTATTAAAAACATTTATAAGCTAGTTTACCTTAAACGTGTGGCTATTTCCAGCTCAAGAAAACTGGGTTCTTAAGTTTACCTTTAATGTTAAGAGTTTATGTAAGACTGTAAAATAAATATTAAAAAAAAAGAATGTTCATATTTTTAAACACCACTTAAACACTGAAATAAACTTCCCAAATCACCTCCAATAGGCAGGAAGCATTTTGTACATTATGAAGAGTCTTTTCTTATGCTTTTATTGCATAAGAAATGTTGTGTCAGTACTTAAACAAAAGCTTTCAAAGTAATCCAGAACAAAAAGGGGCTTAATTTACCTGCTCAATGTTACTTTTTCTTTTCTTTCTTTTTTTTTTTTTTTTAAAAAAAAGCCACAAAAGAGGAGGTTAACCCGGTGGAATCTGGGATGTCTGGTATAATAGGACAATCCAAAGCAACTTCTACTGACCTCTTCCCCATCGTTTAGTACAATAGTTCCTGCTCTCTCCACAACTGCAAACACCATTACAGCACAGAGCTCTCTCCTCACTGACATTGTCATGTTGGCAAAAGCAGGCAATTGATGCATGAATTCCAGTAGTTGTTCTGAAGGAGAAAAAGCCCACTGAGTCGTGCATGTCAAAACAACAAAGCACAGTAAAGACAGTTCTTCAGCAAGATGCCTGAGGCTACTTAAGCTAAAATGCTGCACAATCGTTTCTGTATACTAATAAATCATGTACAGTGGCCTGTTGTAATTACTGGGTATTTTGTAGACACAGACTGGCTGGTCATATCATCAATAGAAGCCCTGCAAAGTAAAAGTCAGCATAATGGAAGAATTGTAATGTAACCAAGATCTCTGAATACAACCAACGATATTTGCAATACTCCAGCCAGGGCAATAACTCTCTGAAGACTATGATAGGCCCACATAAAACACAGCAAGACATTAAGAAGGGAAATTTCACAAAACTGAGCAAGTTCACTGGTAAAGCTACCCCTTCCTAGTCTAGACTAGTAAATTGTACTTGACTATCATCTGACGGATTCACAAAGTTCCCCTTGGAGGGATCAAACAGGATTACTGTCTTCAAGGTGACTACTGCTGCTGTCTTCTGCGTGCACTGGAGTTGCATTTGTACTCAACAGTGAATTTCTCCCACATTTTTCGTTTTTACATTGTTCATAACTACAGAACTCAATTTTTCTCAGGAGTCCTGCTGAGGGATTATATCTCCTAAATGCTAGACATTTTTGCATTCCGTTTGATCTAAAAAAAAAAAAAAAACTACTGAAAGTAGTCATTAAGACCCCATCTTTTTCCTGAATTTTTACTCAGAATCACAGAATGGTTGAGATTGGAAGGGACCTCCGGAGGTCATCTGGTCAAACCCGCCTACTCAAGCAGGGCCACCTACAGCCAATTGCCCAGGACCATGTCCAGATGGCTTTTGAATACCTCCGAGGAGGGAGACTGTCACCTCTCTTGGCAACCTGTGCAGTGCTCAGTCACAGTAAAAAAACAGTGCTTCCTGACGGTCAGATGGAGCCTCTGTTTTCAGTTTGTGCCCCTTGCCACTTCTCCTCTCACTGGGTACCACTGAGAAGAGCCTGGCTCTGCCTTCCTTACACCCTCACTTCAGGTACTTGTATGCCTTGATGAGATCCCTCTGAGCCTCCTCTTCTCTAATCATAGCAAATTAGTTTGATTAGATGCACATTTACGTAAAAGTCTTAATGGCTCCAATGTTTAACACAAATGTATATCTGGTTAAAAACAGACACAACATCACAACTTACAGTTAACAAATCTCATGTGATAAGCATCCAGTGTTGACGTTAATGTTGACTTTGCCAAGGTTCTGTCTGTTTTCCAGTACACATTGATGTTTACTTCATAAACCAGTTCTGCTATCAATTAGGAGTTGAAGCTTGAGATTGAAAGGGCCAGCAACTAATAGTTTTCACCCATATTATGTGTGTTTTCCTCTTGTCCTTTGGTTGTACTCATTCACTGGCTGAATTCATGGCATTTATAAAACACCTTACAGAATAAACACTAAATTTACCAACTACAAAAGCCAGTGATTAAAATAAAAGCTCAAGCTCAAAAAGTCACTTTTTTTTTTAGTTAAGAAGAACAAGTTTGACAGCATTTTACTACATTGCAATACTTACCAATGTCATCATCTGTCCTGTCTATTGGGTCTTTCTCCAAGCAGTCTCTAACAATATCTCTACTCATCAAAGGATCTGATGCCCTTTCAATGTCTTCTTCGTCATCATCATCCTCAGAATCCACTGCTGTCTCTGGCAACCCACTGAGATCCATATCACCAGCCTCACTTTCTGTAGCCTAAATTCATGTATAAACAATCAAGAAAAAATGAAAACATTCAAATGTGATCTTCACTGCTACAGTTTTCTAGTTAAATGTACAGAAATAAATTCTATCACTTTACAGATCACTCAGATTCACTCAATATTTTTATATTGCTTTCTTCTTTACATGTCTTTTTAAAAGAACTAACAATTAATCAACCCAAACCCATTGTTTAAACAGGGCTTTTAACACTTGTTTCAATCAGCCACACATAAACAGGATTCAACAGGCATTATTTAATCAGTAGGTCTTGGGGGAATTGAAGGCAGTTATATTTCAAGTAACAAGTTATTGGAATATTAGCTGAATATAAATTTAAATCAACAGTTCATTTAAAACAATTTTTCATTCCTATCCCAACTTTACATTTTCACACACTTAGGAATGCAATGTAATTTTAAGTAGACAGCTTTGGGAACTACATACAGCATCAAAATGCTACAACAATTTTGCTATCTCCCAGTAACCTAGGACTGTATTTTCCTTTTATGATTGCAGTTGAACATAGTTAAATATGGCTTTCATTTGCCGATAAACTGGGTAAGAAATTACAGATGCAGAAAAAATGCAAAGTCACAGCTTAAACACCACAGACTACACAGAATATCTGGCAAACTTAACTTCCTTTAAATTGTCTTAAAATGAAGGAAAACATAGTCCATATATAGCCTGAGGTCATTAGCATAGCACCTAAAGGTAAATACATTTTAATGATTCAGTTTTAAGACCAAACACTTAGTAAATCCCACAAACATTTGTCTGTCACGGCTGATAAAGCCGCTTTTTCCCAGAACCTGATTTAATACCACAGCAGCTCCCAAAGCTCAACTATGAGAATTTTTAAGGAAATGCAAGCTTCTAATGAGCAAGTTTTAAGCCATGGATTGAGAAATCAAGTTTCACACACCTTATAGGCATGGTTTGTTTCTGAAACTCTGGAAACACACAATGCATTCATGTGTACTTTAAAAATACTACATGGGGCAAACAAAGCCACTAAAGCCTGTTTTATCGATCCGTCTGTCACACTGTTAAAACACAAAATAAAACAAAACAAAAAACCAAACAAAAACTAGGTCACCCTCCAAACACAGAGAAGGTAAGACAAATTACATTGGTATTTTCATAGAATCATCTTCCCTAGCCCTGCCTCACTGGCTGTGGCTGACATCTGTTACTTTAATGCCATTATACACAGCCACCTTACGAATGGTAGGATATGGCTGGAGATGGATCAGGGCAGTCAGTGTCATTCTTAAATGCTTCTGTCTTACAGCACAACACAAGATTTGTAACAGGGTCTTGTTAAAATAAAAAGCATAACAGCAACTACACAATATTCAAATTATTTGGGTTGTTGGTTTTTTTTTTTTTTAAGAAAAAATTGCTGAGCATTTCTTAAGCAGGATAAAGAAGGATGTTACAGAGGCATACAAACAAATCCCAAAAATGATAGCACGACAGCAGTGTTTTCATTAGCAGTCTTACTGCGCTTAACATACATGTTCTGTATGATATATTTGAAACAGTTGCTCTAACTACTCTTAAAAAATAGCCTTCATCAAAAGCGACTGGTGAAAAAATTAGTGGTGATGAGTCAGTAGACACACAGCTTATGACACTGATCTGTCAGAATCAGAAGTCTCCAACAGTGATAATTCCAGTGACAGTGGGACTGAGTAATTCACAGCCAATTTTGCAAACCTTGCCATTACTAACAAGCGCCTCTCCTACCTGCCTGGAACAAGCTTTCTCAAAAGCATGTGGGTAAGGTGAATGCAGAACTAAATTTAGTCACATGATGCTAACATACATGAGAAAATTGGACACATTGTACAAAACTGATTATTAAAATACAAGTTATTTGACTGTCTTAAAACAATCAACCAAACAGAAATCAAAGCAATAGCATCAAGAAAAGCTGATGCTATTTAAAAAAAAAACCCTCGCACAAATCAAATGCAATTATGCATTCAGAAAATACTTTAAAAATTACAACTGAAGGTTACAAGTATTTCCTGAAGATGACCACTTTTTAGAGCTAATTAAATGTTTTTGACAGCTGAAGTCATTAGTAGAAATCTGAATGATGAAACAACTATTTCTAACTTAGTAGTAATCCAAAAATATAAACCACTGCAAAGCAGCTCAGAATTGAATGCAACAATCCAGAGTAACAAGAAAATGTATTAATTTAACTTTAACCTTTAAAAATAAACCTTATCTTTTGAGAAGAAAAAAAAAACAACAAAACTTTCTTACCCAAGCAATTTTCTGAAAAAGATACAAAAGATGCAAAAGTTAACAAAGGAACACAAATGTAGCCTTTCCACACAGGCAATATGCATTCAGAGTAGTAAAGAATCAAACAATTCATCCCACAGGGATGGATTCCTTCTCAGTTTATACATGCAAAAAGTTTTGCATGAGTTTTGTTACATTATTAAGAATAATTCCATCTGTCGTAATGTTAGAAGCACACACCAATTTATCTACAGAACATTGCAAATAGCTTCTTTAGTCTTAGTAACATCAAGTGTGACATTAAGTACTCCAGGTTCTCTTGCTGAGACACTAAACTTCATAACCCACCTACTTCAGGTACTTCTGTACCCCCTCACGCGTTCGAAAAATCAAGCATGGCCGCACAGGAACCCTTAGTTACGAAGCAATAGTCATGCATTTGTGTAAGACTAAAGGGAAAACCTCGATTAGCTCCTTTGAGGACAGAGGCTTCCTTATAAACCTCAGCAGTAGAAAACCCAGAACACAAGAGGAATACCGAACAGAATTTGTACCAGTCAATCATGAGACTTAGCGCTTTTTAAGGGCATTTAATCAAGGATGAAGTACACTTTGGAAATCAGTGCATTCATAGATGTGTGTTGTCCTTTGTTTCTTGGGTAATAAGAGAAATTAGCTTCACTTAAATAAATCTAAAGAGATTACATGTAAAAAAAAATGCTGCTTGCAGCTTAAAGTACAAAACAATGTCTCTCCAAAGTCTGAATACCAGTTGCAATGAAAATTTTCTGCACAGTTGGAAAGATGGCATGAAAAATTTGCTAAAGCTTCAAAGGAATCACATGATGATGGCCTTATATTTTATTTCTCACATCACCAACAAGAAAGTCAGGAGACTTAAGACAGACATTTTCAAGAATGTGGTGAAGAGCTATTTCATGATGGCTACCTAAGGAGACCTACCCAATTTTAAGCAGCGTCTATTAAGGCTAATATTGTTGTAATACAAAAATGGTTCTTCCAACTGCTAAGGATCTCCAAGACCAAAGTCACTTCTTGATTTAAGTAGTAACAGCTAATTAAACAAATACCATGAACTAACTAGCAAAAGATGGAAAGTAAAGAAGCCTTGTCTAAGTTTTCTCAGTTAGCCCTTGGCTCCTTGACTGATTGGGGGTGGAGGAGGACAGGAAACTGGTTAAGCCCAACTCTACTGGTTTTCCATTCTTTGGAGGCATCATGAACACAGACATAACGAGAGAGATGATAGACTACGTGAACAGCTAAAGAAGATGACCTCCTTTACTGCCTCATTTCCTTCTCCAATCAATTTTGGGGTATCTGTTGAGAAAAAAGATTAGAATAGGCTTATCCAACAGATCTATACCTTTACAATCTAGTACCTCTCTCTCCTGTATTATAACTGCTTCATCACACATGCCTGCACACACACGCCAGCCTTACGATGGGAAAGAAAGTGGGAAGGCTTGGAGAACTGCTTACAAGATGACTGGCTCTGTTTTAGGTGGCCTTCAGAGTTTTCTTTTCTACACTGGTTTGGGGAAAAAGCTTTCAGCTGCTCTTAACAATATAAAGAGTAAAACTAGAAAATCCTTAAAATTAACCATGTTAACTATCGACTTCTTAGTATTTTAAATAGAATATTTTAGCCAAGATTTTTTTAAATTTTTATTCCAATCACTTTCTTTAGGAAAAATGAAGAAAAAAATATCATTATTCTGAATAATAAATCCCCTCTGTGACTAATGTCACCACCTAAATCAACAATCCAAAAATCTCCAAACATGCAAGAGAAAAATACTGGAAAAAAATATAAGTAGTATAGAAGACACTTCTTGTGCAAACCAGAAATATGTTCATTTTCTGGTGCAGTCCTTCAAGTCCATGAAGCTAAAATAGTAGCCAAGCTCAGCTGAAAAAAAAAAAATTCCCACCTTATTTTTCAATCATTGTAGTTTAAGGACTAAAAAATAAACTAAGAAATGAAATTAAGAATGTTTATTAGTGAAAACATTCATTTTTTACTTCATAATATATAAGGTGATACAAAACACCAAGAACACTGGCACTAAACCTCTCATGAAATCACTTGCAAAAGTTCCATTAGCTTGAGGGATTTTCTCCTGTCATTATACAGGCACATTAGATCCAGCTTTTCCACAGAGAGAAAACATGGCTGGGGTTTTGTTTTATGTCAGGTTTCAACTCACTGGGCCAAAGTTAACAATAGAAATAAATTGCTATGAAATTCAATCCATGTAATTATACTATGTATTTGTTTGTTAAAGAATTATCATATATATAAAAATCAATTAGAACTATTACATGCACACAAATCATACATAAACAAATCTAAGGCAGTAAAATTATTTTTTCATACTCAACTGAGTGCAAATGGCCATGAAACACCTTAAAACACTTTTAGTCTAAGATTTTTACTGCTCTCTTTGTACTTATTCTTTCATTACCTACTAAAAAATTTACAGCGCAGCAGCCCACATCTGTCACAGGAGTCAATCTGATCACTAGTCCTCCCTAGAGATGGAAAAATGTAACAACCCAGACAATGGACACCAGGAGCAGCATCCTCCCTTATCGCCAACTCATTGTCACATTCTTAAAACAGAGCAACGTTTCCTGAGACCACAGGCATACGGACAAGGTCTCTGGAAGTTACTCCTAGGCTATAAACTGCAGAATAGATTAGAGGATACAAACTCACCAGGAGTGCTAAGATACCACACAGGATTTAGCCGAAGTGGCGGGGGGGAGTTCAGTAGGACCTAGCTTCCCTGAGCCATTTCAGACACCCTTGCATCACAAGGGTACAAGTTACTCCTGGGGGAGATTCCGATTAGACAGAAGAGGAAACTTTTCACAGTGAGAGCAATCAGCCATTGGAATAATCTCCCCAGGGAAGTGGTGGATTGGACACTTTTAAGACTCATCTGGACGGGGTGCTGGGCCATCATGTGTAGACCGTGCTTTTGCCAAGAAAGGATAGACCAGATGATCCTTGGGGTCCCTTCCAACCTGGTATTCTATGATGCTATGATACCCAGAGCCCTGCACTGCAGAGGCTGATACAGTCAGAAAGACTGACTTAATCTTAGGGTAAAACCTCTTTGTTTTGCACACAGTGACTTAGGGGCAGGCTGCGTGGACTCTCTGGTTTGAGAGATAAAGTTTTAGGCTCCCTCAGGAAGACCTTCTGGAAGGTGGACCTTTCTTCTACCAGTTACCGTGTCAGACTCATGAGAAAACAAAGTTGACGTCTTGAAAATTTCCAAGCAATACACACATCCTGGGAGGGTCTCAGAAAGGATGTTCCCGGTTTCCTGTAGCGCCAGGCATATCTGGGCAGAGACCAGAGGGCACGTAGGGCCGGCAGGAAGCCACCGGGCCGAGGACAGGATAAGGCAAAGGAAGGCTGGCAAAGGAAAGAGCTGAGCCAACACAACAACAATGCCTTCTCAAAACAGGCAGGGAGAACAACAGGCGTTCATGGGCTTGAAATCTCCTCGCTCTCAAACTGGGATCATCATCTGGTAAGATACGTGACAGGTATAGGAAGCATTTAGGAGCATATAGGAACAGGTATATGCTTCCATACAGGAAGCATTAACTAAGTGTGAGAAACAGGAGTGAGCAAGCCGTACATGAGAAGCAGCAGTGAATGATTTGCTTCGCCAAATCAACACAACTATAGTTCTTGGCAAATACAAGCCAGCACACAACCTGTTAACATTCAACATCCCCTTCCTCTCCAGTCGTATTACAGCGTTAGTCACTTTCTGAACTTATTTCCTAAAATAAAAGTAACGACATTTAAGGACCTTACTGATTGGCACCTGAAATATTTTTGAGACTTCAGTGGGGTAAAACACAAAGGATTATTTTTTTTATTTTGATAAGTATTTCTTATCCTAAAAGAAGTTCTTTCATGTGCAACATTTGACAAACAAATTTAGTTACACCATTAATATTTAAAAGGAAATATTCTCAGCGCAATGCTGAAAGCATCTGAAGATTCAGCTTCATAATTTATTAAAAAAAAAAATCTTAAAAGGCCATGAATGTATTTTCACTGCAAACAGCTGCTCTTAAGGCTACAGAACTAAAACTTACTAGGATGTAAAACACGACACATCATTACCTCAGATTTCAACAGTAAAGATCTAATTAATAGCATAATTTTAAAAAAGAAAGCATTTCTTTTATTTATCAATTGCAAGATAAGATGTCAATCTAAATCATTGCTTTCTACTTTGCCATAGTGACCACAAGTCCACCCTGCTGAACAGAAAAATGCCGTTATATACAGAACATAAGAATCAGATGTACAACAATACTCAGCTTTGCCTAAGACCTATTAAATTTGAAGTAAAATAAATAACGTGTAGATGACTTGGTTATGGTTTATTGGTTTTGAGTAAACACTTGGGGGAGAATTAAAAGGCAAACAACTAAGAGAAAATGACCGATCCAGTCTCTTGCTTTCAGAAAGTATTTCGGCTTATTTAATCCTTGACTTAACCCTAGAGAATTCAAATTACAGCCTTTTTATTTGTTGTGGTGGTTTTTTGGCAGTACTTCAACCTAACTTAACATTGCTACATTACATTCCTTTATGACTGAAACTGATGTCAGAAATTAATGATTTACAACAATATCAGAAATCAAGTCAAGCAATACTTGGTACCATTAAGTTGAATTTAAGAACCTTATCAGTTTCCACACCTGAAATTATCAATTCATTTTCTTAATAAATCTTTCTTCAAGTATGTGTATTAACACAAAAACATGGGATTACATTCCACAATACAATATAAGCTCACATTTCTCGATGTTGATATGGGCAAAGGTTATTTTAACAATTACTCTGACATTGTACAATTACACAGTTCTCAATACATCTATGCCAAGACATCTTTAAAGGAGGTATTAATTGTAGATTAATTGGAGAAACCAAATTTTTTAAGATCACCAAGAATGGGTTATTTTCTTGAAATAAATTTAAAATAATATCTTCAAAGTAAATGTTCTTCATCTAAGTACTTTAGAAAACCATTAACTCTCTCTGAACACCAACCATTCTGTTGATTCCATTATTCTGAACAAAACTCATGGGAGTCATATCATGGGAGTCATACACCAGGTTGGCGACTACATAAGAATTTCTCTGAAGTTTCTGTACAGTTTATTAGTTATGTGGGTTTTTTTAAATTTCCCAGAAATTCAGTGATCCTTTCCACAGTTATGAAAGTTTTGCTGAAAATCATTGCAAAAAATTTACTTCCAACTTATCTAGAGAATAACTGTCTGACTATAACTACATGCCACCTACAACTGTGTCTCTTGGGGTACTTGTTATTTTTATGTTAAAGTGAAAATCTTTGGAATGAAAGGTACGAAAATCTGCAGAAGACCTGAAGAACAAAGCTGATTTTACATATTCTTCACCCTCACACTATAAACCTAAATCCTGCCTCTAAGTAATCCTCTCTTCAGAAGAAATTCTGACAAACATACTTGACTGGCGTATGCTATGCATAAAGTGTTCAGTTACTTTGACATTTTTCACAAAAAATAAACCTTTGCATTATTACAATTACTGTCTAAATTCAACTGGGACCTTTTTATAGCCTGTCTTCTCCCACAGAAAAGCCTACAAGCTTATTCACCTAAAGCAGACTACATGGTACAACTACACTTGCAACTGAACTTGTTTGTATTTGTGTGGATGATGCTTTCCCCATTGTTTAAATGGCTACGTTTGCATTTTTAGGAGCATCCTAAACAAACACTATTCCTCTTCAAGTAAATAGTACGTCATGTAGAAGCGGTCTTGCTAGTTTTTATATGACCGTTTTGATAGAACAACATTTTATTTACATTTGATGCCTTTTTTTCAGAATAACAAATTGCTATACTTTCCTATCAGGAGGAAAAATCCTCCTCTGACATTGCAAGAATTGTAAGCATCAAGTGAAGGACATAGGCTTCCTCATTTTATTTTATTTCAGATTTTTTTTCCAATTTATATTTAGAGGAAGCACACATACCCCCAAGTGCTCTAGGTACCCTCTGGATCAGTTTCACAGTACATGTCTCCAAACTCAAGCTGCTCCAAAGGAAGAGCACAGAGCTTTATGACAAGAAGCCCCCTCAGAAGTATAACACTCTTTAGAGTGTCACCAGTTCAACCTCCCCATCTTTCCCAGGACAGCCAAGAGAGAAAGTCCCACCAGGAGGCTGGCACCAGGTCTCTACAGGGTGGGGAAATTGGAACATGCCCCTCAAGTCAGACCAGCATATAGTGATCACTGAGTATTTCTTTCTCCCTGACACTGAGTATGTTCTAGATTTTGAAGCCAACACATCTAAGAACTGTAAAATACAGGATCAAGGCCACACTGGCTCTCCAAGCTGAAGTTCAGGAAGATTTCCTCCCCAGAATCACGAATTATGAAGCGCAATCCTCCAATGCCAAACACCAGACCTCTACGTTGCTGACCGGGATCCTGACAAACTATGGCAACACACGTCAAGTTGCTGTGCTGCACATTACTTGCTGAATTTTCAAACATCAGATCTAGTACATGGCAGATAAAACCCTGAAAATACTACAATTCAAACATAAATTAGTTTTTTCAAATCTATTGAGCGCTTCTTCAGACAAAAAATGACAATATGTAGTACCAGGAGTGTTCAGCTGTAAACGTGAAAACTGTTGGCAATTGCACCTCCCGTCAGCATCCATTCCAGTCTTACCTGGTAGATATCAGAAAGGCTGCTGCTTCCTGAGTCACTAGTGATGCTACATCCTGAGTGACTGGATGAAACGTGGGTCACCTGTGGGTGGAGACTGTCAGTAAGGTGCAGCTTTGTGAAATCTGCAGGAAGCTATAGGTGGAGCAGAAAAAGCATCATTACAATTTGAGGTAAATACACAGCAAAGTGAATTAAAATCATTTCTGTCCCACTTTACTCTCTGCCAGTACCAAGTGTATTAAGGAAACCATTGGGGCTTGAGAACGCAGCATAAAAGTTTTGAGTGTTGCAGGTTTTTAATTCATGCAGAGGTCAGCAAAATACCACCAAATTGCTACAAATATGAGAGATTTAAAAAAAAACCCACCATACATTGACACCCAGTGAGGCAATAATCCTTATGCACAAACTCTTCAGAATCTTGCAATGGGGTTTGGATCAAATTAAGGTGCTGATGAATGCTGTGCTAGTTTCTAGATCAATGGTTTCCTGCAGAATGGGATTAACAGCGAGTAAAGTCACATACTCTTTAAAAAAAAAAAACAACAAAAAACCACAAACCAAAAAACCCACCAACAACCAAGTACTGCTCTGGATTTGGCAAACTTTTGCATCTGAAGTTGAGAAAGTATATTATAGACAAGTAAAATCCAAGGCACAGGACTACCCGTTATGCTTTAAGTCACATAGGAAATGTGGGAAGATGGACACAACTGCAAAGAGCTACAACCCTGAAATGAGTTTGCTCCCATGCGTTGCTGAAGAATGAATCGAGACAGTATATTTGATCTTTTAACAATCATCCACCAAGACTTACGATGTATATTTTTACTATTGTTTTATGCACACAGCTCAGATGCAAATCTGTAAGGACTGTAATCATTGCCAGATTGCAGAAAGTGAACACTGATAAAGGAAAATACTTGCTCTCAGAAGAAGTATTTAAATGCTATTTCAGGAGCAAATTACCCCTCTCCCCAAGAGGCTTGCATCCCACCGCTAGTTAATAAAAGTATGTTAATGTATCAATTTTGGTATGCAATAAATGCCTCAATTATTAAAAAAACCCCAACCTTGCTTTTGTTGTTGTTGTTTCAAGGTAGATACCCTCTATGGAGGTGCATTTGTACTGAGGATGTCATATACAGTGTGTCAGTTATGAATACTACTTTGACACTATTACCATTCTCCCTGGATGGAAATGAAACTAAGAGCTCATTCAGCATTAAGATATAATAGGTCAATCAGTATAAGAGGTTATGAAACAAGTAATCTGCAAGTCACAAGAGAGCATGATTGAGAAAATGATTAGCTCCATACGGTTAAAGGTACTGAATGAATTTTACTGCTGTTTGCTTGGTTTAAGTCTGTTTATGGAACATGCCCTGAAAGAACCTTGGCTTTAGGATTTGTGGTGAAGGCACAGACAACTGGAAACCTTACTCTTATTTACGATGACTGGCATTTCCTATTCTAATACACCTGGAAAGGATTTCTTCTTTATCAAAACATGACTGCATCTAGCGATAGCAAAAATGGCTACATTCTAAGCAATGCTTTCTCAATATTTTACCTGAAAGAGGGGTTAAAAAGAGAACCAGACATTAACAATCCTAAAATGCTTCAATAAGCCCAGAGCTAGAGTTGATCTTCATATACCAATCAGCAAAGAAAGGGCAATTAACAAAAGCAATACTCTAATACATACAGCCATGGATGCTGCCTCCAGAAAAATCTAATTATGCTCTCCACTGCTGATGATATACCAGGAGGAGAAAATACAGTATGAAGGAGGGCATTAGCTATAGTATCTGTTATCTCTGCTACTTCCCTTTTCAATCTCCAAGTTTGAATTAGCACAAAACTGAACAGTATTTACTGATATTCGGGCCATTATATCCATTTTTGATCATGATTTGAATCATTATACAAATAAGTATATGTTCCATAGGTGGAATATATATATATATACTATATAGTAAATGAACCACCATAGCTTTTGCAATGTGTTGATGAATATTCCTGAAAGTACAATTTCTTAGAAATAAAACAGTCCAGGTTTATTTGCAAGTAGAAATCCTATGTATTATTTTAAGATACATGCACAAATCACCTAAGATTTGCACATTTAATGATAGTTCAAAGCTATAATATTTTGCGAGCTTTACATTTTACAAAGGAATAATCATTTCAATCACAAATAAATATTAACTCCATAGGGAGGTGTATGGCAACACAGTCTTGTACCCAGCCAAACACGTTCAGTTTCTCACAGTGCCCTGCGAAAATCTCCATGTCATTAACAATTGCATTTATTTTTTACCAATGCAATAACAATTCTTAAGAACCTTACATCAAAGCAAATCCGGTTAGTATGTTAAAAAATAAAATCAAGCTACATTTAATATAATGACTCCGCTTAGTGTTTTAAATGAACAGCAAGGATTTGTGTTTTGTTACTACACAGGCAATAGGAAGAGGCAGGGGATTCCACAATAACCGATGAAAGACACTGCAAATAAAAGCAAGCCTTTTGAATTTTTTTGGGCTGTAGACAATCAGCTGAATGTTTAGTGATTACTGGTTTCAGAATAACTCCTCAAGTCAAAGCCACGCTGCACGAGCTGGACTTGCCAAGTGGTGACAGCAGCAGATCAGAAGCAGGCATTTTACTTAGGGCAACCTAACTAGTCACTTTGATCCTAATCAAATGGGACTATTCACAAGCAGAAAGCACATGCTCACATCTTTGCAGAATACTACATCTCTGTGCTACATGCCCGAAAGTGGCATCCAGTTCGACCGCTCTGTCCCCAAATAAGTTAAGGTGAGAAGTTGTACGAGGGGGGAAAAAAAAAAAATACAAAAATTCATTAAGCTGAAACATTCACATTGTGAGCTCAATGAAAACTGTGTGTGAGAAATACATGCATTTCTTTCTTAGTCACATACTGCTATTTAAAATATTTAATGTACAGAGTTGTACACAATGGGGAAAAAAGGAAAAGCACTGATGACAATGATGAACCGCATATGCTTTTCTTCTGCGTAAGAGGCTCCACTTGTCTCTCCCAGAGCACAATGTTTGGTAAATGGATTTTGGTAAGCCGAGCGCTGAAATGCAATGTTTAGCGCCCTCAGTAGTGCCAGCAACCAGCACAAAGTTGTCTGCCCCAAACCAGGCTATTTACATCTAATGTCTTACTTGCAGTGGAACATATCAGAAAACAACATAATGAAACTGTGCTATTGTGTCCAGTGAAAAAATGGCTAGGAACATCATTTCTGCTTTTGGGAAACGTAAGACCATTAACTTTACTACAACAGGTATATTTGCTGTGCTACTGAATATCAATTCATTATGAAATGGGTAAGCACTCAGTGCTTGTATTCAGCTATTGTTCCATTCAACAGTTTCGTATTGACTTTAGTATTTAGTGTCACAGTAAAAATAAAGGTTTTAATATAATGTTTTAAAGTGTGTACAGGCTAGATATATAACACATGCCTTATCCTCCAGATCACGCAGCAATATGAAAAAGTCTAAGGACATACCCTTTGCCACAGTAACATCAGCTATAACAAACTAAAGACACCACCAATGGCATCAGAACCAAAGAGACTTTTTAATGTTGTCTCGAATTCTCATTAAATTATTGTCCCTGCCCATGGTGTGTGGGGGGGTGGAATTAGATGATCTTTAAGGTCCTTTCCAACCTAAACCATTCCATGATTCTATGGCTCGTTCTAACGAGTCATTCAAAGTAATATGGAACAAAATCAACTTGTGCATTCTCCGTAACAGGCATTTATTTTTCTGTGACAACACTAAACTACAGCTTTGCTGAAGCCAGCAACTACAATATTTCTTAACTTAGTTACTGAACACTTGGAGCCAAAGCATCAAAATGAACTAACAGACAGAGTGAAAACATGCCAGTGTAATTTAGAAAAAGAAATGCATGAGTCTTAAGGAAACATAGTTTCATTACACTACATTAAACAATTAATAGTAATTAAAAGGGTCAAATAACTGTCCTCATAACCTATTTTCAGGACAAACTTCCTAAGTGAGAAAACGTTAAGGCTGAATATGCATAGAACTAATGAAGTATGACATAACAGGGGAAAAAAGTTTTTAAAACAAAACAGGAACGAATAAAATAGTTACCACCAAAGTCCTAATCTTAATTTGACAGAGGTCAAACAGTATTTTATAAATATGCATACAGCTTTTAAGTGTGTATGCGTAAGTGTACGTACCCTCACTTAAACAGTTTACACACACGTAAAGAAACCACAGGAAAAATAGTACACCTGGGAACTCTGTGCTTTTACTTCTTGAGAGCCATAAAACAAATGAAAACTCGAACAATTATGTGAAACTATCTTAAGAACAAAGAGGTATCTCCATTTTAAACTGTACAATACCTTAAACCCTATCACATCTTCCTATCTTAAAAGCAGCATTTTATTACTTCCACCCTCAAAGTGAGTCACCGCTTTATGCATGCAAAGCTAACAATTACTTTGCTCTGAATATGTTCCTCCTATTTTAAGAACATCATGATTTTCTCCTACCCTACAGCGTGCCTTTCAGTATAACAAAAGGCAATGAATATACGTGCTACTACATCTGGAACTGTGCTGGGCTTCTCCTCTTTCTTAGTCTCTTGGCCAAATGCTTGAGCTCCTCTGAATTCCATGCAACTTCTATTCAAGAAATTATTGGGCTCATCCTACTAACAAAGTATTATTTTTATTTTTATTTTTTTAGCTTTAGTATGTTTTCAGAATATTTACTAGACAAGAAATTTACATCTTCAGTTATATCATAAAAGGCATGAAAGCAGCAAAATGTGAGTGAAATGATATAAAAATCCTTTCTTCATTTAAATAGCATTCCTCTATGGGTTTTTTGTTGTGGTTTTTTTTTTGGTTTTTTTTTTCAGGGGGTTATTTTTAATAAATGCAGTTATATGTGAAAACAAGTGTACAAATGCACCAATGGGAAAGATATACACACAAATATAATTCTAAAATAAAAGAGGAATGCCGGTTGGAGAGCTCCAATATACCATTCATTTCAGAGCAAACATATCAGTAAGCTTTTTATAAACAAGGCCTTCTAC